CTTGTTCGAGTTGCCCAGGCCTCCCTGGCCAAGGACTGTCCGTTGTGAGGGAGGGGCTGTTCCTGTGTTACCAGAGAGGCAATGTGGCTGCTGCCTAATGTGGCCCCATAAGCAGATCAGAGCTACTAATTTTTATATAATTAGAGTTAACTTATTTGAACAAACGAGGACTTCATCCCGAGCTGGTGTGGTTCAGTGGATTGAGCAGCGGCCTGCAAACCAAGGGTGGTTGCTGGTTGATTCCTGGTGAGGCCGCATGTCTGGGTTGTGGGCCACGTCTCCAATAGGGGATGCTCAAGAGGCAACCAAACAATGAGGTTTCTCTCCCTCTCTTTCTCCCACCCTTCCCCTCTGCCTAAAAATAAATAGATAAAATATGTAAAAAAATTAGGACTTTAGGCTTAGCTATATGTTGAAATGGTAAGAAGTAAACCTGGAGAATTTGCCCAGATTTGATACAATTAAAACCTGGATTTATCTACAGCCTCAGTTGGATACTTTTAACATTTACTAGAAGTCAGGTACATATTATGTTTTCCGTGGGAGAGCTCAAGTGGCTGATTACACGAACTTAATTCTGCTTGCTCTTTCATTTCTTTTTCGGGGGGCAGGGTTCATCTCAGGGTTATGACACAGTCTACTACACAAATTCGCCACAGCAGCCCCTTTGTGTGACCAGCGAGCTGGCCGAAGAGGGTGGGTTCCATTGGTTCCAAGCAAGGAGACAGCGCCGTTATCAGTGGGTCTGCAGCGACAATGTTCCGTGTTACTAGAAGCATGAAAGTTCAAGTAGCAAATCCACCGACTCTGTTCCCAGAGCTCTTTTACAGGAAGCTGCCTGGAGCCTGGTGCATGGAACAGCGATAGAGGGTCAGGTCCCAGGCAGCTGGCACCAGAGGCCGAGTCCAGCCTTTATAGAGTGATTTTTACACCAGTTCTCCTCCAGCCTTTCCATGGAAATGTGCAGTGGCCCAGAGTTCTTAAGACAAACTTGGGTTTGAGCCTTGGCCGAGCTCCTTAACTAGCTGTGTAATCTTGGCTAAGTTACTTAACCTCTGAACCTCAACATTTTTGATGTTAGAAGTCTAGGTCTGATCTTGGCTCTGCCACCGACAGGCTCCGGGGTGGGCAGGCTGTGCCAGGGCAGCAGAGAGGCCCTGGCCGAGCTCTGACAACTCACGATTCTGTGGCCCCTTCAGAGTCCACTGAGAAACAAACTGAGCTGGCTATGTTCTCCTTTTCAAGAGTGAAAACAGCTAGAAGTGGCTACGCCTCTTGGTTTTCAAAAGATTCGTTTCAGACGAGGCCTCACTGTGGCAGCGAGAAGTAATACTGCTCCTCCTTTTCTCATCAGCGCCCAGGATGGGTGCGTGGCAGGAGGGCTGGCAGGTGCCTGGCTGAGGAACGGTGTCCCAGGCCTCCCAGAACCATCTCGAGAGAGGCCAGAGCTGAGGCTCCATCCTGTCCTTTCCTTGGCCTCTGAGAGACTGAGCCCTGCAGCTGTCCTCTCTATCTGAGGACAGGGGAGGTATGAGTGTGGAAAAAGTGAAGGGGACAGAGGAAGGAAGGGCAACAGCAGCAGGACCCAAGGAGAGAGGGCCACTGGCAGGGCCCTTTGGCCCCAGGCCTTATTACAAGCATCATCCTAACCAAAATGCCCCCAGGTCTGTCCATACCTGAGAGGGATGGGATAAAAACTCCAGTGAGATACCTGGGAAGCTGGAAGCTGCCTGGGCCTGGCCCGGGGCCAGCTGCCGACTGTCAGGCTGGGAGCGAGCTAGTGAGTGCAGCTTCAGAGAAGCAGCCAGGGCTCCCTCAGTCCCCTAGGGGAGGGGTGCTGGGGGCTGAGCGTCCTGGACAGTGAGGAGAGAGTGATGGCCCTGAGATTGCATAATGAAAAATTTAGAAGCTGCCAAGTGCAGAAGTGTTTAATTGCAAAGGTGTTTCTGGCTGAGTGATGTCTTTAGGAACAAAGAATCTGTTGGGCAAGAACATAGAGGAGGTTTTGTTTTCCAGGACCAGAACCAGCCTCTGAGCTCTCAGAACAGGCCTGATAAGAGGTCCTTGCTCATAGGCTGAGAGAGACCATCTGCGTTTTCCTCTCAGTCAGTCCCAACTCCAGGAGAGGGAAGGGCCCCCAGGCATGTCCTTCCGGGCTCTGTCTGCCCTTTCAACTTCCATGGCCGGGTGCTCATCCTGCTCAGCTGCCATCCCTGGTGTGGGAGCTCAGCTGGCAGATGGGTCATAAGGAATCTGTTACTAACCCTCGGTACCAACGAGTGGGAAGGCCTTGCTTCTTTTTTTTAAGGTAAATTATAGCACATTTTAAGTTATCACCATAATAAAACCACTGCCTTTCCCTCCCAAGCATGTGTCCTCTCCTAAGTGGAAGAGAAAGGGGTTGGGTGAGTGCAGGAGCCTCGCACAGGCTCACGCTGGACTGTGCAGGTGAAGCAGCAGGGCCGCACCCCTGAGTCTTTGCACAGACTCACCTGCGTCAGGGGCCCTCTAGTGCTACAGTTTCCCAGTCCCCAAGTCCACCTGGTAAACTCTTACGTACGTTGTTTAAGATGCAACACTGAAGTCCCCACCTCTGTCCAACTTTCCCCTTCCCCTCCAGGCAGGCTCGGCCATGCCACCTACTGTCCCGTAGCACTCGTATGCCCTGCTAAGGGACACACAGCACTGTGGTATCACTGCAGTGACCGCCCAGCCCATGGCTTTCACTGTTTCTGATTTCAGGCACTTTGTTCCGTTGGCCTCATAAATTCTCACAATGTTCTAGAGACTGAGGCCTCAACAGGTGCCCCCTTGCAGAGGAAGCCTGTGTCAGACCTGAGGTGCCAATTTTATGGGAGAGAAGAGGTGGGTGATGGGTGGCTCCCGGTGCACTCCTGCATCCGCTGCCTCCCCCAGACTGAATTCTGGGAGGTCAGACACCGTAGTTCTCACCTGCTCCCCTAGTCTAGCTCTGTGACAGCGCAGAGAAGGGGCTCTGCCGTTGCTGGCTGTGCCCCAATAGACAACTAACATCCTATGGGACATAATATGACATGCCTGCCTACACTGAGTTTCCGCAGCAAGCCTCAATGTGATATTAGGACTCTTGTTCCCATTTTACAGAGGAGAAAATGGAGGCTCAGAGTTAAGTAACTTTCTCATGAGCAAACAGCTAACAAGGGTGGAAGCAAACCTGGGTCTTTATTCCTACACTATATATCTGTCAACTCAGTTGAAACTCAGTAATGTCCCAAAATTGTTGAGTCAGAAATCAGAGATGCTTAGATGAGAAGAGATCTATTTGTTGTCTAATGAGGTCAACCTGACTCCCAGCAGGATTATTGGGTGTCCAGTGGGCATGTTCTACTCTCCGGGTATCTACAAAGTTATAGCAGCACACTCTGCCCTGTCTTTTGGAGTTTCTGACTTAAATAGACATGTGTGCAGCTGAACATGGATCTGTAGACTGTGGGTCAGCCGTAGACTGTGGGTCGGCTGTAGACTGGGGGTTGGCTGTAGAACGCCATAGCTAAAAAGGGACCGTTTATTCAGGCTCCTTGTTTTGAGATGAAGAGACCAAGACCAAAGGAGACTTGTAGCTGCCATGTACTAAAACTTACCATGGGCCAAGACTGTGCTAGACACATTTTTTTAGTGGTATTTTATTTAATCCTCAGGTAGGCACTATTTTAATCTATCCCCATGGACAGATGAAGAGACTGAGGCTCTGTGCGGTGAAGCGACTTGCCTGTTGTCCCAGAGCTACTCAGTGCGGGGGCCAGAGTCTGAACCCAGGTCAGTCTGCTCTAAAGCATATGCTCTCAACCTGCACACCGGGTTGGGGTGCTCTCCTGAGAGGCGCTGTTGGCAGACTCTCTGCCCTGAACCTCCCTGCTCTGCCCCACACCCCCGTAGACCTGCAAACAGTGCCGCCCTTGCCTTTTGCATAGGCAACCCTCCTGGACTCAGGTGCTGGTCCTCTCTGGAATTAGCGAGAAGCTGCTCTTCCCCGTCATAGTCACATTTGCAGAAGTGTGAAGTAAGTGTAAAATAGGATAGTTTGAGTAAAAATAGCTTCCTGCTTACTCAGGGAAGTGGTACCAAAATCACTGACTTTGAGAAGATATGTGGTTAGTTTTTGCAAAGACGAATCCAGTTCTCATATGACAGGCACTTGGAAGGTTCACAGGGCCCTGGATGAATGAGAGACTGAGATTCTGGGGGCCGGGCTTATGCTCTCCCCAGAGTGAGGACCCCTGGAGTCCTAGAGCACAGAGGATTCAGCCCTGGATTTGAAGTCAAATCCAGTCTGAGGACCCAAACCCCCAGTCTTCCCCAAGGAGCTGCAGGAGTTGATCGTGCAATATACGTGAAAGTGCCCAGCACCAACACCTTCATCCAGCTTCAGACTTATCAGCAGCTCCATTCCTCTCCCATAACGATATTCTGAGAATTGCCATATTTTAATATAAAACATGTATTCAAGAGTTTGAGGAATCAGCACTGAAAATTCTAGACAGCAGTAGACTCTAGGAAATGTGTGGGCTTCAGAAAGTAATCCTTCCTATCCCTCAGCCCCTACAATGTGTTTCTCATGCTCTTAACATGAACACACTTTTTCCTTTGGCCTGTTGCTTCTTCTGTGGGCATTTACCAAACACCAGTTCTGTGCCAAGCACAGTACAAGAGCTCACTGGCGAGACAGCCTACTTGCCAGCACAGAGCATCTAATGTGGAGCCCAGAAAACTACAGGCTTGGGGTTATTTCCCGTCAGAAGCCAGAGACCACTGGCTCTCTTCCGAGACCCCGTTCCCTGGTTCTGCCTTGGAGCACCCACCGGCTCCAGCAGCTTGACCCAAGGGATTGCTAGGAGATTGTGCAAGTCTGTTGGCCAAAATTTAACTTGCTGTGGCTTTTCCCCAACTGGCAGCCACAGCCATGGGGAGCCTTGTGCCTGGCTCTGAGGCCCAGATGGAGCAGGCTTCCGGAAGAAACTTACCTGATGGCTTGTCTGTGGAGGACGGGAGGTTGGTGAGGGTGGGCATGGTGGGCAGAGGGGGCGGCAGCACCTTCAGGTTCTGGTCACTCTGGATCTCATTGGTGGAGAACTGATTGATGATGCGGTTGTAGGGGGACGGCTGGTAGACCTGGGGTGGGGTGGCGGGGGGGGGCTGGGGCATGGGTCTGGCTGCAGGCACCCGCTGGCAGTGCTCCTCCAGCTGTGCGATGATCTCCGACTGGTTGTGGGCCAGCGTGGCCAGGTGCTGGTACTTGTGCTCCAGGTCCTTGTACTTGCTCGCCAGCTGCAGCATGTCGGCCGTCTGGTTGAGGATCCGGTTCTCCAGCTGGGAGAGCTCCAGTGCGTTGTCCCGCTTGCGGATGATCTCGTGTAGCAGCTGCATGTAGAGCTGCGTGACCCGCGAGTTCATGTTGCGGCTCTCCTTGCGCAGCAGCTTCACCTCGCTCACAATGCCACCGTCTACCTCCACCAGCTGCTGCAGCGTCTCGATCTGCCGCTTCTGCTTGAGCAGCTCGTTGTTGAGCAGCTCCAGCTCCTGCTTGTGCACACGGTTCTCCAGGAGCACCTCGGGCTCCTTGGAGTTGACGCAGATGGCACCTGTGACCCGTTGCTGGGGCACGATGAAGGTGTAGGTGCACTTGTCTGGGGACTCGCCAGCCCGCTTGTATCTATTCAGGTAAATGAACTCGCTTGGCGAGCCCTCCTCAGTGCCCTCCAAACCATCCTTCTGGCCGGCAGCAGCTCCCAAGGTAGCCAGCAGTCCCAGCCACCAGCATGTCACACACAGTGGCCTCATGGTCCTTGCAAAAATGGTGGTTCTCCTTTGCAAACAGAGCCTGTAACAACCTGAAAGTAAACAGAAGGGGAGACTCAGTAACGGTCCTATCGCTGCCAGTGGCCTGTGCCATAAATGAGCTCAGCCTTCTCACCAGGCAGATCTTTCCAAACACGCAGCTTTAGGAGGCAGCCCTTCTGGAAGCAGCAGAAGGAGACAGGCAGGCCCCGGCAGAGATAGAAAGGAAAAGGGAGGAGACCGGGGCCTCTGCGGCAGCAGGCCGCAGCCATGCTGCTCCTGGAGCCAGCCCCAGTGCCCAAGGCCTGAGAGGGCGGCAGGAAGCTGGGAGGGGGGCAGAGCAGGGCGTTATCCAGTCTGCCTTCTGCTCGGCCTGACACTCCTCAGGCCTTTAAGCCTCCCCATTCTACACAGTCATAACCCATTCATAACACATTCAGACTTTACTTTCTGACCCCAATCGCAATCTCGATGAATCGAATTCTTTGCCACGCCTTCTGCTGGACTCCCCGTTCTGCGAGGGCAGGCCCTGTGTCTGCTGCCATTCTGTATTCCCAGGGTGCCGCACCAGGAGAGCTTTCCGCAAATGAATGCATTGCTAGATATAGTGTGGAATGTGTTCAGTTTCTAGCAGACAATGTCAATGAAATGATGTGTCCAGTCCCATGGCTTTGGTCTGTCTTAGTCAAGCTGCAGAGCCCAAAGAGGAGCAAACAACTGAGCCCTTAGAAACCCAAATATTCGCTGGAGCCACAACTGCACAGTTCAAATCATCACAACGAGATCGAACCAGGCGGGGCAGAAAACAGACATGTGTCTTTGGAGTTGTTTGAGCTCTAGTCTTGGACCATTCATGCCTTCCCTAGATGCCCCTAGAACATCAGTGGGGTGCCAGGCAGTGTGCTGGCTGCAGCAGTTGCTTCTGCAAGTAGGACAGAGCCTTCTGTCCCCAGCCCTCTCGGGGCTTCCCCATCGTTGCTCAGTCCCCGAGTGCTGTGAGGGGAAGGAGTGTATGCAGTGGAAGAGGGTAACAGGGAACTGACCTTATTGGAGGGGTCAGGAAAGCTTCCCTGAGAAAATGACCTGTGCTCTGACCCTTGAGGAATGACTTAGGAATTAGTCAGGCCAAGAGGGAGGGGACAGACATGCCCAGATCCCTCTTCTCACCTACTTAGGGATGTTGCTCTGGGACTCCGCCCCCATCTCTCCAGCTTGATCACATCTCCCCTCAGTCACGCTGCTGTTTCTCTCAGCTTAGAGACAGATTGTCCTCTCTCGACCTCACATCCCCTGTCCAGCTACTGTCCCATCTCTCCACTCCCCCGTTCAGCAAAACCCTCCATAGAGCTGCCCGTGCTCAGTCTTTCAGAAAGCCCCTCTTCCTGCTCTCTCTTGAACCTGCTCCTGTCAGGCCTGCCCCCCCGCCCCCCCGCCACTCCAAGTGCTCTAGACGCGATCATCAGTGGCCTCATTTGCCAGACCAAATGTCCACTTCTTGGTTCTCATTACTGCTTTGCCTCCCAACAGCACTCCCTGCCTGGGCTTCCTTTCCCAAACATCACTCTCTCCTCCCATCTCGCCGGCTGCTCTTCTCAGTCCTCTCCCCTGGTTCACCCTCCTCTTTCTGTCCTGGGGCCCCCCCAGCTCAGTCCGCCTTCCTACTGGGGTGATCTCCTCCCGTCTGGTGGCTTTGATTGCCTGCAGGCCTTGGTAACTCCCACATTTACTTCTCCAACCTAGACCTCACCCTTCGACTCCAGACTCAACTTTCCAACTCCCTCTTTGACATTTCCCTCAGCTCTCTGCTAGGCACCTCCAACTTCATGTACCCAGACATGAATTCCTGGCAGTCCCTACCTTCATCCCAGGCTGCTCATCTTCTATATCAGTAAATGGCAACCCCATTCTTCTGGTTGCTCGGGCCCACAACCTTGAAATCATCCTTTCTTTCTTTCATACCCACCTCTACTTCACCTCCAAATGATAACAGTAGTATCCTGGAAATGTTCCTAGAATCCTGCTGCTTCTCCCACTTCCCACACACCCTGGTGCAACCCACCTTCACCTCTCGCTGGGACCCAGCTAGTCTCCCCGCTCCTGGACTTGCCCACCGCAGTCTGTTCTCCTCCCAGCAGCCAGAGTGATCCTTTCTAAAAAGTCACTTTGGGTCACTCTTCAATTCAAGAGCCTCTCATGGCTGTTCATCTTGGAGAAGAGGCTCACTGGTCTCTAAGGGCTCCCTGACCTCATCTCTGTCTCCTCTCATCCTCCCTCACAGCGCTCCGGCTGCGAGGTCCTCTCGCAAATTCCTCACGCACAGCTGTGACTGCCAGGGCCTTTGCACCTGCTCTGTCCTATCTACAACACGCCCCTCGTTGCTCACTCTCTTGCTTCTCTCAGGTCTTTGCTGAAGTATCACCTTCCCAGGGAGGCCCTCTCTGCTTACTTAAGATTGTGATCTCACCGCCTTGCCCCTCCAGTGTTCTCATCACCGTTAGACACAGCGTCTCCCTACCCTGCCCCTGTGAATGTAAGCTCCATGAGGGCGGGGGCGGGGCAGGGGTCTGTTTTGGCCACTACTCCATTCACAGTGCCTAGTATTTGTGGATTGGAAGAAAAGACATGCAGATGGTGGGAGTGCTGTGGTGAGGACACAGCAGGCAGGCCGGGGAGTGCTGCTGGGGTGGGGGACACAGCAGGCAGGCCGGGGAGTGGGTGCTGTGGTGGGGGACACAGCAGGCAGGCCGGGAGTGGGTGCCGTGGTGGGGGACACAGCAGGCAGGCCATTTATTATATTTACTTGTAGCTTTCCTAACATCCATGGACTGAGTGTCCTCTAGGTACCTGACCCTGCACTAAGCATTTGCACGTGTTTTTTACTTCACTGAAGTCTCCTAGTATCTTTCTAAGGTACGTACTGTTACATTCATTTTATAGACGAGGAAACTGACTCAGATGCTCAGTAACTTGCCTAAGGTCACACAGTCCTGGCAACCAGGACTCAGCCCAGGTCCGATGTACTCAAACCTGTCGATATAAGGAAACACCCAAACCTGTAGAGAATTTCTGTAAAGTTGCCAAACTAACGACAATTGCTGGGAAGCAAAATCTCAGTGAATTGAGAAAATGCTCCGGAGAACAGCAGTCTTGTAGCTTATTTTCTAATGTAGAATAAAAGGAGGAGACGTAGGGAGAGTTACATGAAATGTGGGGGTGGTAGATTAAGGGGGAGGGAGAAAGGAGGGGGTATATCTGGGATTGGGCAAAAAGCAACTAGAGAGACACCTACTTGTTTTACGTTGGTGGGTACAGAGCACTTAACAAACCTTTACGGCACGTGGAGATGGTGTGTGTGGGGGGGCAAGGTAACAGAGATTCTGTGGTTTCCCGCCCAGGGTTGTGCCTTGGGGGGTCTACAAAAGAATGGTACTCTGATATTTCAAAGGCGTGTCATCCTAGATGCAAAAAGACAATAGACAGGCTCACTCCAGGCAGAGACTGACCTTTGTCAGGGAAGCTATAGGCCTAGGACGAGCCTGCCCACCTTGCCCGCTTCTAGTTAGGGGTTTTTGTGTTCCGACCATCCTGTGTGGTCACGTTGGTCTCTGAGCTGCAGGGCCCACCGTGCAGGTGTCCCCCGAGCTTGTCAGGTTTAGCGTGTGACCCCTTTTTCATCCCTAAACCTTCAAACCCTTAGTGACTACACAGAAATGTACTGAATCTGGTCTCAGTAGTAAAACAAACATTAGCATCACCACTCTCTGACCACACATTAATTTGTGCTACAATAACCACAGCAGAAGACCTGAAGGTTTTGTCTCCTGGAGCCCCCTTTGGGGGCTTCTCCGGTGGGCAGCCTGGGTCCAGGCCACACCTGTGACAGCCAATGGGCAGCAAGAAAGCCTGTGCTCTCTGGAGTCATGCTGAGCCGTTTGCAGTGGAGTGACAGAGACCAAGTATGGTGCCCGTGGCCAATGCAGGCCTTTCAGACCAGGCAGAGAAAGGTGCCTGGGAGCCTCCGGTTTGGGCTGGGCCCCGAGGTAGGGCTGCAGTGACGTTAGTGGAAACCGGGCTGAGTTTGTGAGTGTTTGCCTGGTTTCCAACACACTTCGGCTGCTCTCATGCCAGCAGCCACACCCGGCCCAGAACAATGGGGAGGAGCCGCCCTCCTGGCTAGGGTGGGCCTGCCCCTGCCTTCCAGGGCCGCTCACCTGCCTCAGCTGGTGACAAACACCTCTCTGTGCTGGTGCCCGTGTCAGCGTGGGCCTCTGCCATGGCCCAGAAACTGCCAGAGGCCCAGGGAGGCAGTGGACTCCGGGAAAGGGTGACTTCTAAACCTTCCCAGGCAGGCCTTAAGACCAGGCAGGGATGCACTGTTTACCCTTGAGTTCCGTTCCCTCCCCATTGTGAGCTCCCATGGCTTTCTGGGACCTGAGGTCCTGGAGGCTGTGCCTCTTCTGGGAAGTGGGTGTTCCAGCCCATCTTGTACACTAGGTCAGGGACATGGGAGGGCTTCAGAAACTGGGGGTGGCATAGCCTGATTGTGGCCGTAGAGCAGGACTAACAGAGCCAGGCCCACAGTGGGGTGGGCTGGCCACTTGCAGGCAGTGTATCCGGCACTTTTACCGTCTCCTTGAACCCATCCCCTGCCCCCTGAGGTGGTGCCAGAGTTCATTAATGACCCCATTGCGTGGAGGAGGGGCGGCTCTGTCAGCCGGGCTCCGACCTGGGCCTCTGGCGGCCTTGCCCCCCAGCCCTGAAGCAGCATGCTGGACGGACTGAGTCCTGGCTGCCTTCATGTCCCTAGCATGTCACACGGCACTGGGCACAGAGTGGGGAGTCAGAGGTGTGCAGATGCCACCAGAGCCTGTGCCGTCCATACAGAGCGTTTCTTGGGACTGTCAGTTAGAAAGGGAGCAAAACCGCACAGTCTGCCCTCGAGCACACAGCCCTGTGCGTGCATGCCACGTCATCGAACCGTCACAACACTCAGAACTCGATAGCACTCGTGTGCTGTTCCCAGGGAAGGAAGGAGAAGCTCGAAGAGGAAGCT